CCCCAAAACCCCAAAACCCCAAAACCCCAAAACCCCTTAAAGGGCAGTTTTGGTTGAGTAGAAAATTTTAGAGGGATTATGGCCTAGTTTCTGCGAGAATAGTATTGCTTTAGAGGAGCGTTTTGTCTGGCTTTTTGGAGATCGGCTTGTTTTTGGAGCTCTCGAAGACGTGCTTTGGCTTTTTTGTTCCGTTTGATTTCTTCCCGGAGTTCTTTGGCAGGGTCTTTGCTTGGCATAACGTATTCATCAGAATCGGCTTGTGTGGAAGAAATGAGGTTTGATCGAGCATTATTACTAGGAATTGCTTCAGCAACTCTACCTTGGTCGTCTAATGCTAAAGCTTCGCTTAGGAGAGGATGAAAAACATCATCTTGCTCATCAAGTCCTCTAATACGGTTTGCATGTCTTTCAGGCAAGAATGGCTGATCATTTAGATCTTCTTCGCCTCGGATTTCTTTTAAGTATCTTTCTATACTAGTATCACCGCCTTTGTTCACCTTGATCCTGTTACCTGTGAAGTTATGGGATGTATTAGAGTTCATTTTGGATGATCCTCCTCTTGCCCTTTTATATACTTTCAGTCTATTTCCAGCTTTCTTCTTCTTAGGTACCTGCTCAGGAGGGAATAAGTACTTCTCCATCTGACGTAGATGTTCCATTCTCTCCTCACCGCCAGGTGGGAGATCACTAGGAAGGTTAAAATTGAACTCAGAGTGGTTATCCCGGGCTCTTGGAGGTACCTTCTCTTCCTCATAATGATTATGCATAATCTTCCTTTCCTCAAGTCCAGTAAGATATGACGCATTATCTCTAGTCTGGTTTATAAGATTTGTAATTTCCCAATCTTTTACTTCTTTGGACAGTACAGATTGCTCCTTATGAATCTTAGACTCTTCCTTTGGTGCCTTTTTGAGAACCTTTTTAGATTTTTTAATCCTAATTCCTGATCTAGGTCTTGTCTTTAGCTTTGATTTTTCCAAAGCCTGATAAGTGTAACAAGTATTGCTTACATTATTTGAGGATGTATGGGTTCCTGGAGATTTACTTTCTTCAGGCATTCCAGTCATGTGGGTTAGGTTATTGTTGTGGCCTTCCCTTGCTAATCTTACTGCTCTTAACATCTCAATGCCATCTGTGACTTCTTTAGGGATATGCACAGGACAAGGGGGAGTTATCCTATTTGATCTGTTTATTCTTCCGTATGATGTGTTGTTGCTAGCAAAAGAGCTATCTCTCATTCCTGAATTATTCAAATTATTTGTTCTCATGGATCTTTTCTGTCTAAGTCTCTTTGACTTGGAATTTCATCTAGGAGGCCTTCCTAAGGGTGCTTTCTTTTCTTCTTCCATACGGTTCTTAGATTCTTCAGTTGCTGGGTTTCTCCTATTATTTTGTACCAAATGTCTTCTTCCTTGTTCTACTCTCATTCTGTTAGCATTTACAACTGAGTTCCCTGAAGCAACACCTCTATAAGCACTCTGCCTATTCTGTTTAATCTTAAATGGTCTTCTTGAGGAAGGATCATCAATTTTCTGACCAAAATCAGGCTGTGCAGCATTATATTGAGCAATCATATTGCTAATCGCCATTGATGCATCTTCTTGTCTTCTTGTTGGCTCTTTCGTTTCTTCTCTCTGAATTTCATCTTCAAGAAATTGATCTATAATGATTATTACTGATCTTACCAATATTGACATCAACGACCTCATCATCTATGTCTTCACCGTCGCTCTCTGCTTTAGGAGGATCAATATTTTTCAGGTCAGCTCCTACCCCGATTGCTCCATAATTTCCTGCAAATATCTTCTCATTGGCTTCGTATTCATTTTTCTTTTTAAGGACTTCAGAGTTTACCAGTCTTTTAGAAAGAAGTGCTGATTGGTATCCTAATAAGATTATATGATCTCAGTCAGAGCATCTGTTGGTCTTCTTCCGAAATAGCTCCTCCATACAGTATTTATGGATCAGATGGTTTCAAGGAAGCTGTAAAGCTTTACTATGATACTCATGCTGATCTTTCTTGGGCAATTTCTTATGTGAGTCCTGAGCATATTGAGCCTGAGTGCCTTGATTTATTTCTAACTCTCACACTACTCATGTTGATTTGTCAGGAATAACTTTTGGATATGAAAACATTTTCTCATAACTTAGGGTTAGGAATTTATGCATTGTCATTAATTTATCTCTCTGTTTTACACTAAGAAGGGTTTCAAATTCATCAAGAGTAAGCTCTTTATTTTCCTCACCCTTCCTTTTTGGCCTTTTCAGCTCTGTATCTCTAAATGCAGGCTTCCAGTTTTTATCAGGGGATGGTCTGACAACGAATTTATGCTGCTCATGGTAATTTGAGATGTATCATATCTTTCAAATTTCTACATCGATGCACATGACTCATTGAAATTTTGAATCGTAAAGAATAGATCTTTTTCATCAATATCATACGAAAGATCTGTCAGTTGATCCGATACCGTGAGGCTTTGTGTTCAGGTTATATTTAGAGAAGATATTCTTCTTGACTTCGAACTTTCTCTTCTCTTGTTCTTCCTTCCAAAGTCTGGCTTCCCTCTTAAATCTTTCTCTAATATTCTCTCCCCAAGATTTACGGCAGAGTGGACAAGTTCATTCAGTTTTATTTGAGATTTTATGGGATGCGTAATGATCAGCTCACTTCATATGGAAGTTCTTTCCGCAGCCATATTTACAGAATGTGAGATTTTGTTCGCCAGACATTGGTTCAAAGCAGATGCAGCATTGCTCATCCTCTTGGAGTTTCATTCGTTCTACTTCGAGTTGTTTCATTCTAATATTTTCAGCCATTTCTTTTCCTTCCTCAAGGATCCTGTTGATAAGCTGTTGGGCTTCCCTAGCTTCAGCCCTTCTGTTAACTACTCTTCTCTGAGAAGGCATGACTGGTTGTGGGGAAGGATTATAGTGGAACCGATACGGGTCATCCGGAACTAGAGAATTTAAGAAGTTTTCATTGGAGCTTTTGTATAGAAATAATTATAAAAACCATACATAAGTCTACTAAGGAGATAAAGATTGAGTTTAAAATTTGATCCGAGCTTTATAGACAGTTCTAAGCTTACCTGCATTTTTGATTTCATCATCTATGAAGGAAAGTTGATATAAAAGAGGATCTCCCTCCTGAATTCTGAATATCCTTAAGAGGGTGAAGATTGTATGGATTCAGTGTTCGATTCTTCCTCCTCCGCAGCTGCATTCAATAGTATTGCCTATCATAACTTTAAACTTATTTTCTATTATCATCCTGTAGGATACATTTCGTAGGCCCAGCCATATTCACCAAATATAGTCTGACTCTCTTGGCAAGATCTAGTTTGTGCATAAATTCAGCTGTTGGTCTTTGACGCCATGGTTTCGCTCTTGACATCTGAATATTCAATTTAATTTATTTCAATTCTTTGCTCTCACAGAGGGGTTTTGGGGTTTTGGGGTTTTGGGGTTTTGGGGTTTTGGGG